CTCTCACTGTTGTGGCCTCTCCCGTTGCGGAGCACAGGCTCCGGACGCACAGGCTCAGCGGCCATGGCTCACGGGCCCAGCCACTCCGCGGCATGTGGGATCTTCCCAGACCAGGGCACGAACCCATGTCCCCTGCATTGGCAGGCGGACTCTCAGCCACTGCGCTACCAGGGAAGCCCAAGCCAACCATTTCTTCTGGTGCCCGACAGAGGTAACAATGTTCTCCAGCAAAGAACTGTTTCTGTTGAACTTAGAGTGATGACATGGTGCCTTCTAAGAGGTTTTTGAGGAAGACTTTGATCATCTCTGACTTTCACCTAATGCTAGAACTTGAACTACATGAAATTGTCACTGTTTAGGCTGAAATTATCCAGGATAGGCTTGTCCTTGCATCATGGGTCCTGCTGCCTTTTGTCTGTATATATATTTTTTAATTATTTTTTTCCCCAAGAATGGTGTTTAACAGTGTTAAAAACTGTAGTCTCTGGCGGTCAAACAATGGAGCAGAAAAGCAAAACAAATCCTCCTCTTTCTGTCTCAGTATGATTTCCTTGGAACTTCTTTTCATTTTGCCGTGTCTCTGTTTTGAAAATCAAGCTATTACTCTTGAGATAAAGATAAGAATCTTTCAGTGTCTATCATATAGGAGAGAAATATAATTAAAGGGAAACTTTATTTACAGTTAACATTTAAACTAAAACTTAGTGAAAACGTATGTTCTTTACTGTTATAATCTCATTTGATCCTTACAACTCTTTGAAGTATAGATATCCCATTTTATAGGAAACAACTGAGGATTAGAAGGTATGAGTGACTTGGTTAGGACCACTAAGTAAGTAAGTGACAGAGTCCAGATATATAGATCTTCCTTGACTTATGATGGGGTCATGCCCCAATAAAACCATCATAAGTTGAAAATATCTTAAGTGAAAAATGCGTTTAAGAAATCTAACCTGCTGAGCGTCCTAGCTTAGTCTAGCGTATTTTAAATGCTCAGAACACATACATTAGCCTACAATTGGGCATCATCATCTAACACAAAGCATATTTTATAATAAAGTGTTGAATATCTCGTAGTTTATTGAATACGGTAATGAAACTGAAAAACAGAATGATTGTATGGGTACAGAATGGCTGTAAGCATATAGGGTGTTTACCCTCATGATCGTGTGGCTGACTGGGATCTGTACTCGCTGCCACTGCTCAGCGTCATGACAGAGTGTCATAGGGCATATCGCCAGTCTGGGAAAAGATCAAAATTCCAAATTCCAAGTCCAGTTTCTACTGAATGCGTGTTGCTTCTGCACCATCGGTAAAGTCGAAAAATCCTAAGTTGAACCGTCATAAGCCGGCGACCATCTATATATGTCCCCAAAATCCCGTAGTTTTTCTTTTCAGCTTGAGGCTCCTTAGAAATATGAATGTAAAACACAGTTTTTGTTCTCAAGGAATTTTGGATCCCATTGGAGGATAAGAAAACTGTACAAATACTGTAATTTAAATTGAAATATAAATACTCTTCTAGGGAGGTTCAGTTTTATCATTGTTGAGAGGTAGGTGACAGCATGTGTCCTGGATAATTGAGACTTTATGGAGGTTATTTTCTAAGTAAAGGATTTTCTAATTAGAGCAGGCACAGTAAGGCTGATGAAATCATTTACATTCTTATGTTGTCATGGTTGTATGATATCTGGTGAGAAAGTGGCCTTGGGGATGTATCATTGAATTCTGCCAACTGCAATTGGAATCAGTCAGAGAAAGCAAAGAAGTTAAGCCGTTGAATATGAATGAGATGTAAATAACATCTTGAATTAATTTAAATGCAATCACATTGACCCAATGCCGGGACAAACTCAATTACTGTAGAAAACAAGGAAGATAAATGACCCATATTCAGGAGAAATTCTTTGGTAAGAAAATGAGTTGGCCTAAAAAAACACTGTCAACACAATATTTGATACTCCACTTTTTATGTTAACTATGCACACTGCTGGTCAGTAAACTCAATTTATTCTTTAAACAATGTCGATAAATAATAAAGCAAATGAGATTGGAAAGTCTCTTGTTGGGTTTCTCATGTGTACTGGTTGGGTAATTCTGGTAGTTTTGTTGCCAGAATAATTTCTATATCAACCATCAGTTGATATGGAATTGGTCAACAAGGACTGTGCTTTGGGGATAATTAGATTGAGATGCACCTACCTGGCATCTCAACTCAAGAACTGCATTTTACAAAGTTCTTTCATATCTCTGCATTGTCCTGAAGGTCTTCTGACCTGTCTCTGATGCTTAAGAGAGAAGCAGCCCACTCCAGTAGTTTGTTGACCTGGGATTCATCCCAGGTTTAGTGGCTCTAAAACTTTAGTGGCTCTAAAACTTTACTTTGCATGATAATGAGAAAGATAACAGTATTTCCTGACCCAGTACCTTCGTTTCCAAATGGTGCTTGTCTACACTTGTGGAGGTTCCCTTTCTAGGGTCTCTGGACATCTCTCAGGCAGCCAAGAGTTCTGTGCACACACCCCAAGTATTGTATGGAGCCTTAGAGAACAAAGGGTTTTCTCCACCCAATAGTATTGCTCTTTGCAAACGTAGACACTGTTATGATGAATAAAATGCAAATATATATTTAAACACTTTACCAGAGTTCGCATAGCATTTTTTTTTTTTTGGTCAAGATACACGCTTCAATTAGCAGATATTTACTAAAAATATTACAGCTGTCATATAAAGATTCTTCGTCTACGGGTTAGGACTTAACTGTGTAAATCATTCATTTGTTTAGCAGCTGCCTACAGTGTTCTAAGTCCTAAAACTGAGAATGAATGGAAACCCATTCACAAGATTTTATTTATTTTCTTATAGAAAGTTGTGTATGGACTAAAACTCTCTTATCTGATAGCAGAGTCGAGAGTAATTTTTCCTTACAGTTGCTCCAGCTGAGTAAGAAAAATATGTACTTATTCTTCAAATAAAAGGTCACAAAGTAGAGAATGTATTTTTTGTTCTAATTTAGTTGTGATGCTTGTCATTACATGGCTTATAGCTGATCTACTTGTATGCTATATTTACATAGCAACCCATATGAACACAGAGGTGACGTATGTAATTCTGATTTCCTTCGCATCTATCTGTACCCCTCACCCAACCCCAGCCCAGTCAGACAGGATTAGCTATCAGGGAGCAGGTTATGCATCTGTTTTCTCACACAGCATGGCACGAGAGTGCCAACAATTTTTGAAATAATTGAATTAAAGAGATGAATGTTAATTAAGACACATATTGTCATGTTCCAGATCTGCAGAGTTGAAAGGATCCTCGTACTTTTTCCACTGTCCTTTAGTTTATTTGGCCGTCAGATGCCCTCAAACCAAAATACAATACTTCTGTGAAAAGGAATGCTTAAAAGAGACTCCCGTATGAGACTTGGGATATACTTTTTTCCTGCTGCAGACCTTGGCTGCCGTGTTTGAGCTTATTTGGGGCCCATGTATCTGTGCGCCTGCCGGTGGGGGTTTAGAGAAGTAAGTTTGAGCAGTGTCAGCGATTTATGGGGAGGCAGTAATGGGCTTCTACTGAATGCTAATTACCGATGAGCTGTTCAGGGAGGCTGTGTAAGAACTGTTGGTTTGTGGTAAATTAGTTGCTAGCTCCACTGAGATGGACGGCAAGTTTAGATCAGAGCCCCAAAGGCGCCCAGCTCCTTGTGACTGATGGCCAAACTTGGTGACAATTTGAGCTAAAACGCCCCAATTGTGCTCAACAGTGAAGTAGATGACTTTACATGAATTTAATAAGTACAATTCTGGATAAAAGTTAAAGCTTCCAACCCCTTTTGGATTAAAAGGATGGGGAGACTGGATTGTTAAATGAATTATCAGAGTTGTTTTGGCTCTTAGATCTGAAAAGCTGCCAAAGCTGCCAATGGTATGAAAGAATAGATTGCTCTGGAAAAATCCCTGCCCTGAGTATGACGGCCTTTATTTGTCTGTGTACTGGAGCTTTCTGGCTGTCCACACACATAAACCTCAACCTTTATCTCATGCTGCACAGGGTGGCTTTTCTGAGAAATGATCCTCTCGCTCCCGACCAAAACTGGCGTCTGCATTGGGAGGGTTTTCTTGAGTCTCAGGCGGCTCTCTTTCAATTTGCAGTTACCTTTCTTCTTCATTTCCATTTCCAGCAATGAGAAGAGAGTTAATGATTCATTTGCTCCCAGTGACCTTTTGAATAACTGGACTGCGGTGTACCAGTACCACTCTGAGCTGCTGTGCTTGCCTCCTTTTACTTTCCCAGTTTGGCTTGCATATTTATAGCCTCCTTCTTGGTCTACATGCCTGAACGCCTGAAGGAAGCAAAACATTTATTGCCTCTCCCTCCCGGTGTTCGGTGTTCCGCAGCTTTCACCCAGCCCCATTCCTTCCTTTTACATCACACGGGAGACTCGCCTCCTGGCTGGGGATGTCCGAGTTCTTCCTGAGTCTCTGCTGTTGAATCTGTTGATTTCATCAAGACAAAAAGATGGATTCTGACTCGGACTCACCTTTTAACTACTCGTGGCCTTCCTTCCCCAAAATGAAGATTCGACGGAGGGCGTCCAAACAAGGTAGATCACGCGATCTTTTACTACCCCCAGAGCCAAGCCGGGCATCTTCCTATTCTTACCTTTCTTTTCCTTGTTGCTTTGCGAGACTCTTTCTGATAAGTGCGTGTTTATACATGTCTTTATAAAACTCTTATAATATAAATATTTTATAGATAGACTTCTAAGGTAAACCTACTCATCCTTCTTGTGTTCCTTTCACTTTAAATCTTCCTTTGTGCTGTATTGTGCATGCGCTATTCCTTTAAAAAAAAAGGGGGGGAGTTTAGTACAAGGTAAATGTTTTGGATTCATTTGCTCAGTTACCTTGGTGTTACCTTGACAATAAAGTGTCTTGTTGATTTAAATGTGTCTGGTCTTTGTGGGGTGTGCAGAGAACTATGCGTGCGCTTAGTACCGGGTGTCCGCTGCATTTGTGTTTTAGTTTTCAAGCGTGTGCTAATTAAAAAAAATTTTTTATACCTAACAAAATTCTTTCTTTTCTACTCTACTTTCTTGATTTTGTAGATGCTCTAAGGAAGGGGTTTTAAGAAAGTAATTTCAATAAGAAAGCCTATATTTCTAGGGGATGCGATCCCATATTAAAAAGTTTATTAACGGTAATTACCAAGTATGCAAAATGCTTTACTGCCAAAGGCAGAAGAGCTATTTATTTGCAGCGTGATGATAATGGAGTGGCTTCACGCTGCTTACTCCCCCTCACCTGCAACCCACTCTTGTGGTGCAGGTCTTGGAAACCAAGGGACAAGTTGGTGTTAGGGAACAGCGGAGGTGGCCTGAGTGTCCAGTGCACCATCCCCAGCGGATGGTGATTGTTGCCTTCTGAGGTTTATCAAAACTAGAAAGGTAGTGAGTAGCCCTTTCTTGTGTTGTAGAGGGACTTCATGTGGTTATGTTTTTAGTTCAAACAGAAACATTTTTGTGAGCTTATAAGCAGAAGAGGTGTTTCTGAAAGTGGGCCGCCTCTGTAGCTTTGTCCTGGGGGAGCAGAATTCTCTCTTGAGAACAGAATGACCAACCATATCACCCTGTGCTTTACCTGGAGAAAAATGGAAGCTGGCGGTTGTCACCGTACCTGTTTCATTTCGAGGCTTCTTTTTCCTCCTAAAATAAAATGGAGGTGTGTGTGTGTGTGTGCGCGTGTACGCGTGCGTGTGTGTTTGCTCTTGGCCTGGGATCAAGGCTGATCCCAGGAATACAGTGGGTTGACTCTCTAGGAATAGTAGAAAGCCTCAACCTGAACAAATCTCCCACGCTGTTCATTGCCATTCTTGAAATTCTATCACTGGGGACTTAAAACATTTGTACAACATTCTATTTTCCTTATATTCTATTTTAAAATGTAATTGCTTCTTCTTTGGGGGTAAAGGGCCATGATATAAATGCATCTTACCATTAATTGTTTCGGGGGGAGGGGAGTATCTATAGGGTGCACAAATGTGTGCATGTGAAAGCAAGCTCAGACTCAAATGGAAGATGGAGTAAAATGTTAACAATAGGTAAATCTGTGTAAAGAGGATGTATTGGTGTTCGTTGTGCTATTCTTATTCTTTCAACTTTTCTGGAAGTTTGAAATTGTTTCCAAATAATTTTTTAAAAACTTTTAAGTGACTTCTGAGAGGGGAGATACACAAAGTCCTTAATTCCTTAGAGTGGATATTATTAGTTCTTGTACATGGAGAAATTCTTGAGGGCAGGTAGCAGTTCTGTAAGACTACTAAATCTTTGTGCTAATTCTCATCCAGTTAAATTTGGGGAATAGTCTGCTTTATATAGTTTTGTGTTTATATTGCCTGGCTAGCGGACTGGATGCCTATGTTGTAGGGAGGCCTCGTTAGGTAGCCTAACAGCCTGGAGAGATGTGGGATTAACGATTAGGAGGCCAGTGGAGAACCTTGAGAGTCCAGTGGAGCTGTAGGGAATGCGTTAATCACATTCTCCTTTGAAATCCAAAGCTGGAGCACAGCCAGTTTGAACTACAGCAGAAAGTCATAACATAGCCATGTATAAATTAAACTCAATTCAAGTGAAAGCAGGTACCTGGGATTTGAAAATGATTAACTATTTGCCACTAATAAACAAAGGACAAGTGAAACTAAGATTGGTAGCAGAGAGCTGGGGATGGTCAGACTGTGTCCCATGCTTCCTTTGTCTGTTAAGTGATGACGACCTAGGTGTGAAGGGTGGGTTTAGTCACACTGTAATGTCAGCTGGACGGAATCCCAGAACCACAGACATTACAGCCAAAAGGGCCTTAGAAATGACCGGGCCCAACCACCTCATTTTATAGGTGAGTATGATGGGGCCCAAAGAAGTGAAGTGATGGAGAATCATTTGAGTGTTCAGCGAGCATGTCCAGAGTGCCAGGTGCTTCCTAGAGGGTGGGACGAAATAGTGAACCAGATGGATACTGTCCCTGCTTACAGGGATCTTAAGCATTTGGAATGGATCCTACCTCTCCCAGGATACAGATGCTCCACCTTCATATAGTAGAAGAAACACCAAGGAACCTGATTTTTTTTCAGTTCCGTGGTTAGGTTGTGAAAAACTGTGGTCTCTTGTCCCTTATTCTGTCAGTCTTTAAAACTAAGGTGGCTTGAGTTTCTTCCTTAGTCTTGCCTTCCTTCTAATCATCACCGCCATCATTCTCAGGATGTGGGTTCTGGTCTCCTGGGAAATTGTGAAGGGGTGTTGAGGGCTTGGGATTTCTGGCTTATTAGCAAACCTTTCATATTTGGTCAGAAATATTTTTTATTCTCTCTTCTTTTTTGTGTCCTGATCCTCCTTGTTAGTATTCTCTTTCTTTTAACATCCCCTCCTGCCTTATTATCACTGTTCTTTGATAGACACACGTACACATTACTGGTTTGTTTCGTGAGGTGAAAATTTAGAGGGTTTGGTAATAAGAGGAAAATTGGATTAGCAGAAACCCATCCATACTTATATGTTAACTAAAAACCACATCTACTACTTATCATGCCCTCAGAAGGAAAGAGAAAAGGATCTAACTTAGAAGCAACGCCTTTGGAAATGACTGGTCTCTAGAGGGGAATGTGATGTAAGCAGAGGGTGAAAGCAGTTAAAACCAAACTGCCCAAAATGTATTCTTGGGATCTCAAAGTTGCCCTTTGTCATATTGTGAGCAGCCCAGGACAGGCTGTACTGGAAACTGAGTGGTTAATGATTGGCGTGGGCCAGAATCCACGGCTGTCCACTTCAAGGACTCCAGGAATG